TAACATATCTTAAATTCTAAGACGTGATAAATTGCCAAGTTGATTCAAGTATAACGGATACCTGTAGGACTTAGAGAGAATCCTAAGGTCAGAAACTCCAACGTGTAGAATTAGCTACCGCAGCTTTTCAACTTAGACGTTAAGATAAACGAAAACGAACCCAGTGACAATATATAACAATTGATAAACTATAATTTTACAATTAAATCTTTGATAATAAATTCTAATAATAAGTTATAATAAAATTATATAAAACTCATTAGATATTAATTCAATTTCTTTATTATTATCTTCATTTTATTAAGTTAATAAATAATGTGAATCAAAATATAATAATATATTATTAATTAAAAGCAGATTTTTTTATTTTTTACTCTAAAATAGTTATCTAATTTATAAAAAACTTTTTAAAAATTATTAAGTTTATCTATGCTTTTAAATTTCTATAATAATAGGCTAGAAGTTATTTTAGATTAATTTTGAAAGAGATTTTAAACATTTTACGTTATTAATTATTTACAGTTTGAGTTTATCCATTTTTATTATATTCACACTAAAAAGAATTATAATTTATCATCGAAAGTATTTGATTTAAAAACATCTGATAATAAAGACCTATTTCATTAATATTATAAATTCTATCAAGAATATATCAGTTTAAAAGTTGATGAAGTTTAATTTTTTTTTTTGGTAGAGATGTTATTAATCTACTTCTAAATTTTTCATATATTTAATATAAGTAGATATTATTACATTTTTTAATCAACTATTAAAAAATACTAACACATCTTCTTGTATACTAAATATATTGGCAAAATATCTTGTCTTTTCTTTATTAATGAATTTATTAGGATCATACTATCTACTGTTATATTTTTTATTCATAAATTATAGTCCTATTAAGTTCTAAAAATTTGACTTCTTTTTATTTATAATTTTTTTAAAACTTTCATTTCTAATATAGCATTCCATTTTTCACTTTATACTAATATTTTTGATATAGTACTATGATCAATACTTAGAGTTAGGTTTTATTTATTGAAATAGTCAGCAATTTCTTCTTGTTTTTTATTATTATTTTTTTGACTATTTACAAATTTAGTGTTTGAAGTTAATACTTATTATTGAATAACTTTTTAGAATAGTCAACAGGCATTATAGGAGAAAAAATATTACTTAGATTAAAGTAGAGAATATGAATATTAGAAAAGATTCACTAAAAAAGGAAATTTTGATATTTTTATAAAAGCATAATATTTTAACGTTAAATTCATTTTCTTTATTTAATATTTTGATATAAAGAAAAAATACTACTATTATAGAATAAAAGTTTTATTTTCTAGTATTATATTTTAAAAATATTACATTTTAAGCATATTATATTTAAATCTATATAAAATTTGATTATAAATTTTATCAAATTCTAATTTGCAACCAATTAAATCTTTTTTATATAAATCAATCAAAATCTTATAATTATAAAAAGGTCAATTTTCTAATAAAATGATATGTATATTAATAAACTGTGTATAATAATAATTATAATTAATTTGTGATTATAAAAAGATAATTTAATATTTTAAATCTGATTTATAAAAATACATTCTTATATAAAGGTTTGACTATATGCAATATGACTATATAGAAATCTGATTGTAGTATATTTTATAATTTTATATTTATAATTAATAATTACAAGTAAACAAATTAATAATGATTTAAAAATATCTAATATCTAATTATATATGAATAATATGTTATTAAAATTTATTATATATATGATTATAATATGATTAAGATTTTTATAAATGCTATTATAATATAATTAAGATTTATTTTATATGTATATATAATTTAGTTATAATATCATTAAGATTTATTTTAAATATAACTAAGAAACATCTATAATTTATTAACAAACTATTAAAATATAATTGTATAATCATTATAATGATTAATGATTTATTAAATTTTTATTACATATAATTAGTTATAATGATAATATAATTTATTATATAAGTAATTATTAATAATATATCAATTTATTGAATATCACTTTAATATTCAGTCACTAAAACTATAATAAAACTATAACTAACCCTAAACAAATACATGATTAACACATGATTAATTTTTTCACAAATTAATTATAACTTGATCATAGCTTAGTTACTGTTTAATATATTTTTATAAAATATTTATTTTTATTTTAATTTTATTTATTAAATTAGTTTTATTTGTTGAGTTTATAATTTATTACTATTACAATTTATTGCTGTTCCTTTATATTATGTAATTTTTTAAAATATCATAGGATTTTATATTATATAACATTATACACTTAAGTTTTTTTTTATTATAAGTTCAGAGATTTAAATTATTATTATTTCAAATATTTACTATTTATTTGCAGACTGACTTTTGCAATTTTTTTTTTATAATGACCAATATTTTTATATTAGAAGTAGATTTATATATATGACTATAAGAACAAATATATATATATTAGTGAATAATATTATCATTATGAGTGACATGATCTTTAATAATTTAAAATTCTATTTTTTATTTATTTATTTATAAAATTTTCACATTTATCTTACAATGTAAATTTCTTTTTGAATATAATAAAATATGATTATTTTCATTAAATAAGTCAGATTTATTAAAATCTAAATGCATTGATAAAATAATATAAAAAATCATGAAAATTAGATCTTAAAATTTAAATCATATTAATAATGATATATAATTATTTTCTTTATAATTATATATCTTAAGACTAAAAATAAAAGTGTAATTATAATAAAAGTAACTATATAAAAGGATTTTTATATATTATTACTAAGTATTAGTTCTAAAAAGGATTTAATTATAAAAACATTGTGATTATAAAAGAATTTTTTATAGTATTAATAGGTATTAGTTCTTATAAATTATGTGCTTATAATAAGGAATTTTTATAATATGATTGTATAGGTGATGATTATAGAGAGAAAATGTAAATCATAATAATAAGTCAATTTTAATAATTTTAATTATTGAATAGATAACCTACATTTATGCCTATAACGTAGCAATTATTATATCATTTCCTATATCAATCTAATAGTCTCAAGCTTTATCTTTAAAAAAATTAATTCTAACTTAACTGTTTAATAACTAAATTCTAATCTTCAATCTCTAATCCTAACTCTAAGATAGTTAGTTATTTCTCTAACCTTAAATCTTTAACTATAATTCTAAAATAGTTATTTCTAACTTTAAATCCCTAACCTTAATTTTGAAATGGTTATTTCTTTAATCTTAATCCTTAAATCTAACTTATTTTTCTAATTTTAAATCTCTAATCCAAATTTCTAGATTGAATTTTTATAACAAAAAAAATGCAAAACTTATCATAATCAATATCAGAAATAGGAGAGTCTTTTAAAATATTCTTTATTTATGATATAGTATTAAAAATAAAAAAATAAAAGATTATAGATCAAAACAAGTAAAGAGATATGAAAAAAAAAATAAAATTTAAATAATTTAATAATTAGAAATATAATTATTTTATATAATTATTACACTTAAAAATATATTTACATTAAAAACATATATAGACTAACAATAAATCGCATATGTAATAAATTATAATTTTCTTATTTTTGTCTTATATTTAAGAAAAAAAAATCTAAAACATTATTTTAAATGATAATCTATCTTTACTAGTTTTGGAATTACTAAAAAAGAGGGTAGCTAAAGCTGTGTTTGATCACAATTTTTTGGCCAGAATTACTACATTAAGTGATAAACCTAGTGATAAATAATATATGACAAATAAGAAATCACAGACTGAAAAAGAATACTTAATAAAAATGACGTAAAAATATTTGGTGAGTCACATGATATTATAATTTCTATCCTGAACTATAAGGATGCTCAAATAAATAAGATAAATAAACTAAGTTTTTCTATGTCAATTATTGGCTAAATTCTAATTGGACTAAAAATATTTTTTGTTATTGCTTTTAAATAATTAAGATAAATATTAAATACTTAAATAAGATTTCAAAATTTAATAAGATAATGTCTTAAATAATTCAATGCAACAATTAAAATAATAATCCGAATATATTTATATAATGTAACATTATTTTATAATGCACATACACTTTATATAACTTGTTATAAACAATTTGATTACTTGTCTGTCTTCTCTTTACATATGCATTATTAATATAAAAAACTGATAATTTTAAACTACAAAAGCTATATGTATTTATAAAGGAAGTTGTATATTTTTATCAGTTTATTTTTTCTTTTTTAGCATTGAAAACAACCTGGTATTTTTAATTCATCAAATTTTCTATGATAATCTTGAGAAATTGTTTCTTCACAAGAATTCTGTAAATTTTGTATAAAATCATCATCATCGCCATATTGGATATCTTCTACAATTTTTATCATATTGTTTACTAGTGTCTGTTAATAATAAATTTGTTAGAAATTGAAATAAATGTCACTACTATAGCTTATTTTATTAATATGAACAATACCTTAGCTTTTTATACCATTACTATAATAGGAAGTATTTTTATCACAAACTCATTTATTCCTGCTAAGATTTCTAAATTTTTACTACGAGATATTTTACAAACATATCCTGCAGGTGAATCTAAGCGTAATAATAAAACTGTAAGCCTTAAAAAAATATATAGGCTTAATAGAATCTATGTTGAGGAAACTAATTGTATTATACAATCATAAGCATACCTGAATGTATAAATCCTATAGTTTCTAATTTCCTAATTTTTTTCTTATTAAAATTAACTTTTGAACATAAATTAAGAAATATATCTTTTAGCATTTTAGGAAGTTTTATGCTTTACTTTCTAAGAATTCTCATTCCATTTACACCTTTGAATATTTTGCCTACTTCATTACATCCATATTCAATAAGATTTTTTTTCATTATAAGATCTTTGCGCCTATGTATCTTCTTTCTTTGTAAAGGTGTAATTGATGGTAAGTTACAAACTTAATTTTTTCTTGTGGCTGATGCTAGGCTACTTGCTTCTTTTCTGATGAAAGACACAATAAATAATGATGAAAAAAAAATTCCAATAAGCTAACAAAAAAAATACCATATAAATTATATTACCTCAATATTTCAATTCCCTCAATATTTGCAAATACTTTATTAATAAAAGACTGAACATGTAGTAATATCCAGATTTCTAAATGACTTTTTTCTAAACTTTTTGCTTCATATTAAAGTACTCTGTATATAAAATAGAATACTTAAATATAAAATTATATTTTAATTTTAAGATTTTGCAGTTTTAAAACACTTACAGATTGTATATTATATTTCTAACCCAATCATGATCAAAAATAACTTCTCAGATTAATGGCATATTCTATGTTTGGTTGCTGAAAATTATTTTTCTAAAATCAAAAGTATTTGACTTTTTGAAATAAGATAAAACAAGTAAGTTATTATTACATATGATGATTTTATTTAAATATGATAATAGAAAGTACATACAACACGAAAACTACCAATATAATTTAATAAATATTGAGGCATCTATAGAATAGATTTTATATTATAAGCGTGAATGTCATCTAATTCTGTTCTATTAAAAATTTCTTTTTCAATGTAATTGTCATTATAAGGATCTACAATGAATGAGTGGCAAGGGTTTTTGAGAAAAATGATGTTAATATCGATGCAAGACAAATGGCTTATATTATATTCCAAATATAATATACTTACTGTCTATGTTTGCATCTAATTCTAAACTTATATAACTCATCCTTTACCACTTTACCAGAATTTAAGATCCATTTTTTTTTGGTCTTCCATTTTTCATAAATTTTCTTAAATTTAATAAAGTCCACTTCCTCAAGATTCTCTAATAGTGTTTCTTTAGTTTCTTCAGTCAAAGTATTTTCTTTATCTATGTCATTATTATTAAAGTATTTTTTTGTTTAGTTATTTTGATTATTATTGAGTACATTATAATTATCTTCTTCAATCCCTTCTGTTGATTTACTTTGAATTAATGATTGATCTAGATTTGAATATCTAAATGACCTAATATTAGATCTAATATATATAGATGATGCTATAAAATTATCTTTAGCAGCGTTTACTGTTGCATGAATTGAAACACATTTGATAGTTTGCTAAATTAAAAAGAAAATATGTGAACACTCAAAATCTAAGTTTCCAAAGAAAGAACTGCAAAAAAAGCAACATATACCTCATCAACATGATTTAGCAATTTTACCAGACCTTCTAAATGTCTTCAAACTGTAGAGGTTAAAGTATCTTTTTTCTTATATTGAAAAAAGAAAGAAATATAAATATAGTTAACATAGTTGAGGTTGACAGTTTGCACAGGTTAATAATTCCTAATTGCATATGATATAGCAAACAGTCATAACATACTTTCTACTTCAAGTAAACTGCAGAAATGCCCTGTATAATAAAGTTGCTCAACCATCAAACTCTTGTAAATAGACTACCTTAGATCGTAATTTTGTACAGTTTGTCATAAGAACTACTGGTTCTTTCCATTGCAGTTTATTAGCAACCTTTGCAAACTGAGCAATATTTTTAAAATATCCTGATCTTTACTATGAAACCGTCTAAAAATCAAAAGCTAGAAACGTAAATGTTAATAATATGAAGTTTAGTTTTTTTTTGAATTAGAAATCAATCAAGTATATATGATAATAAAAGGATGTGTAGTGAAATACGTGATCGGCTAGGTATTTTTTACGAGAAAACTAACTCAAAAGCCTATGTTTTGTGAGAAGGGGTGTGATTAGGATCTCTTAACATAATGACAAATGCACTGAGCATTGAACTCTTCTTTCTCATCTAAGTAAATTACAGAAGAACTTAAATACAATCAACTTCAGTCATAGGATATAGCAAGTGTATTATATTAGGAAATTTATTTAAAAAAAAGAAAAAACAAAAACAAACCTTCAGTTAGTTCGACATGATCTTTGCTTTTTGATAGGATTTACTATTTGTTGGCTGATTTTCCATTAGTATATTTAGTTCACTTAAAAGTGACGAATATGCAACCTGTTTTGTGTAATTAGATCTTTTATTAATAAATATATATCCCAAGAGATAATCTTTCACAAATCTATAACTCAATTCCAATAGTCTAATGAAATAAAGTTAGAATTTACATTAAAATTTGAAATAATAGAATAATAATAGTAAATTACCAGAATAATGGAAAAGATTTAAAACTTCTTGTAATAACTTATTTAGATACGAAATTATGCTTTAAGCCTATATATGTCACGCAACATATCTTTAAGAAAAAAAACATGAATTAATTTGTGATTTGCACATATCATAAATTTTGTGTGACTTAAAAAATTGGCCAAATTTATAATCACGTGATTATTATTTATATTTGAAACTTCGCCCGTAAAAAATGGTAGCCAGATTTTATTTGCTAGATATTTATTATTAAGGTTAGTATTAGAGTTAGGGTTTATATTTAGGATTAGGATTAAAGTAGAATTAGGATTAGTTTAAAGGGAGAAAATTTGTTACATCACATCATATCTAGGGTTGCTTAGTCCTAAGACCAGGTTCGCAGACTTTAAGTTCAATTTTTTGAACTAATAAAGGACTCAGTCCTAACCAATTAAATTTTTTAAAAATTATAATTTTATAATTCTGGCTGGAATTATATAAATTTTCATATTTAGAAATTAAAGTTACACTAATTTCCAATTATATTAATTTTAAAAAAGAAAAAAAATTTTTTGTAGCCAAAAAGGCAATTCCATATCACATAAAATTCTGATATGTTAATTCTTAATATTCTATGATGATAGTGATTAGCATTTGATGATAATTATATTAAAATCTTAAATGTAATAATAAACAAGATATGATTATAAATAAAGAGATTATAGACAGATCTGACTGTATTTATTTAAAATAGAATTTAGCTGATAAAATATTACATCTAATCATATTTTACAATATATGTTTAATTATAATATATTATTACTTTTATTATATAATTATGAGTTTAGATTTTTTAAATAATACTTTAAATATTAATGAAAATATTGATAAAACTTCTTTTAATAATTTATACCATTTATTAAATGATAAAACTTCAACTACAATATTTGATTCAAGAAATTTACAAGATTCACAATACTCACAAAACTTATAAAATTCACATAAAACTTCTTCTTTATGGACTTATATAGATTGTGAAACTTTAACTAATTCAGATATACTTGTGTATAAAAGATGTAATTTTGTATTTTCAAAAAAATCAGAAAATTCTAGTATAGAACGTCATTTAAAGAAGCATAATATAATAATTCTAAAAGTTAATAAATAACAAACTATATTAAATTTTAAATGTACAGATCCTTGATCATATAAGAAAAATCAAAATGAAATCAAGTGTTAATTATTTAGATAATTTCAGATCAGCAGTTTTTTGAGTTGTTGAAAATAAAAATTTTATTAAAATGTTAAATATGTTTAATCTTCCTATAAAATTCCTAATCATCATCAAATATAAGAAATAGTTAATCAAGAATTCAATCAACATTACTCTAATATAATATATAATTTACGTAAAATACTAAGAAAAGTGATTTTTACTGCTGATATGTGAATACAATCAAAGCTGATTATAACAAACCTCTTTATAATGAATGCTGGATATAACAAATTCATACTTTTTAAATTTTAATAATAGTTTGTTATAAAAGTGTAATAGTACATATAAAAAGCATAGTAATTTATATAATAAACTTTTTTTAATGAAACTGTTAGTTCATTATAAAGAGCGTTAACTGTATTAACTTTATGTAATAAAGCATATCTTAGTTTAATGATTCATTATATTGATCAGGATTAGGTTCTTCAACATTTTCTTCTAGATATTATTCCTTTTAAGGTTCGTCATACAGAAATTAATATAGCAAATTCAATTAATGATATACTTAACAAATTCAATTTAACAAATAAAGCTATTGCATTTACTATTGATAATAAATCTACAATGTTAATTTTTAAATAAAAATTAGCAGAAAAATTTGAAGAATCTTTAAATAATTTTTCTTTTAATTATTACCAGTATTCTGCACATATTCTTAATATTACAATCAAGAAAAGATTAAAAATAATTGATCAAGATATATTAAATATATATAAATTAATGAAAACAATTAAAAATTCTGTTTTATTATGTAATGATTTACGTGAGTTGTATATTATAGAAGAAAAATTAAAATATTTTATTCTAAAATAGATATAGAAACAAAATGAAATTCTACTTTCTATATATTTCAAAAGTTTTTATAAATGAAAACAGCATTACAGATGCTTGCAATTAAATATGAAATTATAAATAATTTAATACTACAGAGGATCACCAAAAGTCTTTGAACACCACTTTTTAGATGCGATTTAATATTAGCAATTTTATGTGATTTAGCAATTTCTGCAGTCATATGATATTTTGAACCTTGTTTACATGAATCGTACTTTAAAAATGTATTTCAAAATGGTGATAGTAATTTTTAGAAGGATAATTCTCAACCTCATAATATGAAGCAGATGAAAGAATTTTTATGCAGAAAATGATATACATGTTCTTTTATAGCTCGCTTAAGTTTGAATATCAGCTTGATCAAAAATCTGTGAGCTGATGTCAAGAAAAGTATTCGTAAAAGAAAAAAAATATCTTCTAACATTGCTGAACTAAAGCGGCATATTAAGAAATCATGGAGAGAAATTTTAATACATACTATCGAAAATTTGGTCAATAGTATGCTATAATAAATTTGGACTATTATTGAAGCAAATGGAAGCCTGACCAAGTACTGATTAATTAGTACAAAATTTATTTTGTATGTCATTTTTAATAAATATTTAATAAATTATTTAATTAAATTTTA